TGTTGGAATGAAGAAACTTTTAGGAAATGACAAAGGCTAAAAACACAACTTATGGAAGAAGCTTCACTCTTATTTAACACCTTAACTTGGCTTGATACAAACTCAAAGACTCCACCCCTATTTATACTAGTGGCACCTCCTAAATTAATGACTAAGATTGTGCCACCACAATTACAATCCAATGGTTACAAATAATTCCACACCTACCACACAATAATTCAACACCTACCACACCTACCACACCTACTACACAATAATTTCATACCTACCACATATTCTAGAATAAGCTTATAGAAATTAAGCTTTATTTAAACAACTAAAACAAGTTTATATTTCAACAGGGTGGTCATTAAGCAGGGCTTCTTGTTGAAGACCGATGTCAACTACTCTGGAACTAGACTATTTCTTTCGCACATTAGGTATGTCCAGGGTGGAGGACACTGGATTCACTCGCATGAGTCTGGTCAGAAAGATTCTTTAGGAGCTGATCTACCCTTATTCGTCAGGGAAGTTTTATCCTCCCGGTAAGCGAGAGCCGGCAGGTTAGGCGTTCAGTCTCATATCATCGTTGGAGGGCCCCATGATGCCTTGTCACTTCTTCTGCAGACTGCGAGATATCTTTGAGATTCATGTTGTAATACGCGGCACACACACAAATATATTATATATATATATGCTCATGTATGCAATTTAGATGCTCTCCGACTCGTTAATTCACATAATGTTATCGTTGTTAGCCAACCATATCAACAATTTGCCTAGTGCTTTTTGTCATTTTCCTCTCTTTAAAAGCCAAAACTTTTAGAAAAAATACAGGAGCAAAGACTTAGAACCATAATGCCAAGACTTTGTACAATTCCTAAGTTGGTCTCCATAAAACCTATTTAGCAAAGGCATGAATGTGTATAACACTTAAATAAAGTGAACAATTGCATTTTTAATTTGCTTCAAAAACGACAAAATCTATATTGGAATCCAAGACCCATGACTTCCCCACTGTTTTGTGAACTTTGATGCAATGTATATATGCTCCCTTCGATCAACTGGAGGTTTTTTGAAAAGGAGTTGGTGTTGAGACCCACCACAAGGAAAAATACAAATTGCTCTTGAGAAAAGCCATCTTGTACAGTACAATTTTGATGATTATTAAAGTTAAAAATAATTGAAGTACTAGCTTAAGCTTAATTATATAGCATTGTCGGCCTACTATTGCTGTTGTTAAAAGGGAAGGAGGGTAGTATAGCAATGAAAAAACAGGAAAATTTTGTTCATAAAGAGCTATATTTAAGTAGGGATGGGGACAAAGATCATATAAGGAATATCTTGTAGGGTTTGTATGCAAAATTTATCAAAAAATGGCATTTTAATCTCTATTAAAGTTTATTTTTTTTTCATATTTTTTCACTTTTTAATCTATCAAAAAATGGCATTTTAATCTCTATTAAAGTTTCTTTTTTTTATATTTTTTCACGTTTTAATCTCTTTTATGGCTTTTTTTTTATCAAGAAAAAAATTATAAACAAAGCTTTATCAATGTTCAAGGACTTGCTTTCCTAAACTATATTTTAATATTGATGAAATATTGATATATTCTTATGCATATATGCAGACTTAATAATTATTTCATAAGAGATTGAATCTATCAAAGAGGTTTGAAAAATAAAACATGACAAGATATTGAATCTAAAAGTGCATTTGGGGCGGCGGTATGGTGGTGGTGCGGTGCCGCACTGTAGTTTTTGTTGTTTGTCAAAACTACGTTTTGTCTACTTTTTCAAAATGTCGTAACTGAAAACTGCATTTTGCCATCAGACTTGGCTAAGTGCAGTAGCTTCTAGAAAGTTGTGGTCTAAATTTTTTCTTAAAAAAATTATAATAGCCACCACATCTTTTTGAAGAACAATTTCTTTTATAGCAGTTTCATAGTTGCTTCATCAAACTGCTACAGTTACCTAAAACACACCCTAAATGAATGCATGTGCAGCATCACCGCCAAAAACTGAGATTTAACTAAGCCATCCTAAATTAAATTAAAAATTAAAATCAAGATCAGACCTGCATCCAAATTTTTCTCAGTTGGAGATTTGATGGAATGAATTAAAATTTGAAAGGGACACTGCTCCCTTGTCACCAAATTCGAATGAAGCAAGCTAATGGTGACCACTTGGTCCACAAATTTAATATAAGTAGCACAATAACCAAAGCACATGCATTTAGTCCACAGTCCACAGAGACTACAGACTACCTACATAGGTAGGTCACCCGGGATTCTGGGGATGTTCATATCCTACTTTGACTCATGGTTTCACGATAAGGAGGAAAAAAGAATTGAGTGATTGCCCACCATTTCGTGAGGTGATTAATTTAGTAAACTGTCTGAGATTTAATGGAGGAAAAAGGCTAAAATGGTGGGGTTAGGTCACAAAAAGCAGGCCAAAATGCTGAAGTTTACACGTACATTGGGTTTGACTGAGCTAGGACCCACGTGGGTTAGCTCACATGCATCTGGTTCCTTTAAAGATATTTAATTGTTTGTTGAATTTTGATTTTTTATGTCATGTTGAGGTAAGCAAAATCTATTAGTTAGTTTGGTTGGCAAGTCTGGTTGCTTGTGACTTTCTTTTGGAATTTGGTGAATGATGATATATGAAATATATCATATCATCATGATGTCTCAAGTTTTATTTGAGTTCATAATAATATTTATGGTTTGATTGTGAATTAGTCATTTGATTAGTTCATTCTAAATTCAAAATCATTTTCATGTAGCATTGATCAAAATTGGCTCGTAAAATAGTCAACCAATTTGATTTTTGAAGAACTATCTAGTGCTAATAACGGTCAATTTTTTTTTTTTTATTTTGATCGGATGGCGAGAAATAAATATTTTGATTAAAAATAGAAAAAAATAATAAAATTATCATATCTTAAGATTTTGATTTAGAACCATAATAAAAAAATTAAAAAAAAACCTTGAATTAGAATATCATAAATTAAACATATGAAAATATTATTAATGTATCATTATTATATCAA